GATGACTCTATTAAAAATAAAATATTGTGCTGAAAACCATTGCACTAACCTACTTTTCTAGGTTAGTATTTTATTATGTTTTTAAAATATTGAAACAAATATTCACTTTATTTTTGATAATTTAAGACCAGAAATCACTGTGAAGTTAAGGATTTAACATATACCAGTTTTCAAACTTTTAATTAAACATCAAAAAAAAACCCTTCAGATTTTTAGCTTTATTCTTCCCAATTTAAAATGAGGTCATACATTCTTTAGAGAAAGAACCAGTTTTATACCTGTGAATATCTTATTGGTTAGAGTTGCACGGGTAAGTTTTTGTAATGGTGTTTTAAAAGACATTCCCAGGCAATTAACTGAACACATGAAGAAAGAAATTAAAGAGTGGGTGGAAAAAGAGCTGCATATTTTTGACAATAAAACAATAGGAGATGGTTTTCAGTTTGGTACAAGAAACAAGAAGGTGAATGTGTAAGATTACTGTCTCTTTCTCTCTTTCTTTTTAAATAGTAGGAGATGGTGTATAATCTATGAGAATCTGTTATAGAGCAATGAAGTTTCCTTTTGTTTGAACTGCAATTGTTGTTGTATGCTATTAGGTAAATTTTGATGCATTTTCAATAAAAAGGACTATTAATGAATTAATGTTTATAAGTTTCTTTGAGCTCATCAGATGAAAGGTGTTATATAAGTGTAAAGTAATAGTATTGTACTGGTTTCCATGGCAACAGAAACTTTCCCACCTGACAGGAACTCACAAGGTAGGGTTGGTGAGTTAAAGTTGCTATAATTTAACTTTTTGCACTTTCTAATTTAAAATGTTTCAAGTTGGCACTTCAACATTACATTCTTTATTTTAATTACTATGAATTATATTTGTTCATATAGCCTTGTCCATTCTTTTTAGTGTATTTACATATTATTCTGGTTATCCAAGGGAAGACAATTCCTTTTTTAAGTATTAGGACATTATCATTTTCAAAATATTATTGTTAGTCCTCATTTATCTGTTCTAGAAATCAACAAGTCCTGGGGTTATGTATCTGCTACAGTGTAATGTAATTACTTGTCTCTGTTTTGTCATCTGCAAAATGGAAATGTAATAAACTATCTAAGATCATTGTGATGAATGAATGTAATCATATCATGTAAAGTGCTTAATATACTATCTGATACATAACAAATACACAATGCATTAATATCTACTTTTATAATAAATGCACGTAGGACCTCTATATCCAATAGAACTTACTAAGATGGACATGTTTACTGTGTACATTGTCCAGTATGGTAGCCACTAACTATATGTGGTTATCAAGCACTTGTAATCTAGATACTGGCATTAAATAATTGAATTTTAAATTTTATTTTAGTAAATCTAAGTAGTCACATGTAGGTAGAGAGTCCCAAGATGGAGAAACTATTAGTATTGCCCTTGTTGCTCTTGGACTCTAATTTTAACTAAAATTTTTCTTACCTTTTTTCTTCTTTAATTCCCTCTTTTCTTCCTGCCTTATATTTCTGCTCAGAATCTTCTCCCTTCTAAGTTCTGTAATTCCTGTTTTCTAGGTATCCTGTGCTCATTTTTCTCTAACCAACTAATTGTACTCTTACCAGCTTTTCTGCTATTAGCCTGTTTCACAAGAGGGGGCTTTTTTCTTTCTGATAAACAAAATGCTCTCTCTATTCTTTTGACCTAGTTTTCTACTAGCTTCTTTGAAATCTAACCCCGTTGTCATTTTTTCTTCAGTCTTTTCCTTATCAACAGTTTATTTCATTTAGTGTCATATCTAAACCATTGCTCACTCTTCTTTCATTATCACAGTTTCAAATGAATCATCTTATGCCAATGCCAAGCTTCCTTACCTTCCATTTTTCCTGAATATCTTGTCATCTGATCAATCCTATAAACACCTTTTTTGATATATCACTGATGACTTCCTGACTTCCTTTTCTCAATCATCACATCATTTTCTTTGATGTAAAAAATATGTAAAATTAAAAAACAAAAACATACCTAATTCTCCAGATTTACCTTGAAACTTACTCTTCCTTTAGCCTCTTTAGTACTATTCCATGTACGTTATATCCTGAATCTTTGTAATCTTTGTAACTCCCTAATGATTCTACTGTTCTTTCTAATAACGCTGTTCCTTCTTTCTTCCAACATATATTTATTACTTGCCCTTGGTAAATTATTTTTGATTGGCCTCTAATATTCTTTCTTATACCTCCACACCCATTTCTGTTCTAAACGAATCCTTCTAAAGTCAGATCACCATTACATGACCATTTTATACAAAAATCTATCATATTTACCTTTTAAAATCTTTAAGTTGTAAAATTGGATATATTCTTTCTCTATTTAGCTTCCTTTCTCATTTTTTCTGACTTTAACCCAGGAGTTTGTATAGTCTAGAGAATGTAGGCGGATCCATACAACTTTTACAAGATGGTTGTGACATCAAAATTATTTTCAGAGTAACACTAAGTTTTTTATGTCTTTTTTTACTCTTATTCTCTCTCTATAATTTTTTTCAACTTGCAAAACTGAAGTTCTACCCACTAAAAAATAAATTCCTATTTCCCATTCTTGCAGTTTCTGGTAACTATCATTTCATTTCAGTCTCTGTGAATTTGACTATTTACTTAAATGAAATCATACATTATCTCTTTTTTTGAATGGTATTTTTTACTTGACATTCATGTTTTTCAGGGTACATTTATGTTGTAGCATATGTCAAAATTTCTTTCCTTTTTGAGGCTGAATGATATTCCTTTATAGGTATATACCAAATTTTGTTTATCCACTTAAGTGTTGATGGACATGAGCACATAAATTTAAATTGTGTATTTCATGTGTGGAATTTGTTGCAATCAAATAAGCAAAGCATCATACTTGTGGGTTACCTGGAAGGACATGGAATTAAAGTCATCATGTGATTATTGGTCTCAGAGAGAAACTACTCACATTTAGGGTAAAATTTACACACATTTATTTGCTAGAATCTAGGCAAACAAAAATTTAGGTTAAGTCAGATGGAGTATGCAAATGCTAATTTTTAAGAACTAAAACTCAAATTTTGTGTAAACTATATATTAAACTTTTTTTATAAACAAAAACATGGTATCTTTCAGAATGTAGTGTTTTAAGAAATAGCATAGCAGATGAGAATAACTCTATTTTTTTTTTTTTTTTTTTTTTTACTGGGGATGTAATCCTCGAGCTGTTGCTTTTGATGTTCTTGAAGCTGTTGTTTCTGTAGTGCGTTCAGTTAGTGCCTCTGCTCACTCTGATGATTGGTAAAGTCTATACCCCTCACAGGCTAAAATGGAGAAAATCAATTTTATACTCCCATGTTATCTATAGAAGACACAACCTCTGTGTTAGTAGGTAATTCATTTTTGGTACTGTGACTCTGTGGCACTATTATTGTTTCTAAAGAAGTGGGGAAATCATGTAATACTAATCAGAAATGCTCTGTGTGTGTGAGTGTATTTTCTGCTATTTGTGTCTGGATTACCACTGTTCTATGTTACCAACACTAAATTAAGGAAGACATGAGAAAGGTGAGGAAGTAAGTTTTGTCCTTATTGAATATGTATTTGTTGCATATATATTTTAAAGGAGCTATGATAAGCAATTGAAGAGAAAATCATTCTCCCTTTGGTTTGGAGAAATCAGGTCAACTCTTAAGCATTGTATATAGGCAGCACTTTGTGTACTGTGTTTATCTATATCTTAAATACCAGTCATGGAGTTTGAACATTCATTTGCAACTAAATATTCTAGATAAATAAGCAAATAATGTGCAAATTATGTACAAGTTGCAGAGGAGTTGCTGATGAGTTGATGTCCTTTAGAGATTATACCTAGATGTATGGCAAGAGACCAATATATATCAGTAGTTAGAAATAATTACATTGTTTAGTCATATTGCTGAGTTTTTGCTTATGGATAAAAAACAAAATTAGAAAAATTCTTTATAAATAAAAATAATTATAAAAAGGAACATATTTTACATTTGTAAAGATATTAAAGATCCTAAATGAGGAAGTGAAAATGGATTGTTAGGGAATTCCTTTTGTTTACTGTTACATATTATTCGTGGATTAAGTAATTTATATTTAATACAAAAATTACATAATCTTATTGTGCTCATTAAGATACTTCAATATCATTACATTATTAACATACTAGTATGTATCTCTTACGTGAATTAATGTAAATCTTTTCAATGTATTTTTTGAAGCCTCTTGATTCTTTGTTGATATCACTGTCAACAGGTTCTACACTTCATTTCCCATCACCACCAATATTAGGAATAAATTTAAGACTGTCTGTTAGAGATCACTTCATTTTATATCTAGAGTCAATGTTTTCAAAATAATGATTATTCAATCAATATTTATTATTGACATTGTTTCATAGCACTAAATATGTTTTAGGGGAATAGATTCATAGTTACTCAGATGGATGTCACTGTACCACATTTACCACCAAAGCATCCATAGTCCTTTATCATAGACTATTGAGTTCCCTACCCTCTTTGTTCATACTACCTCTCTCTCTCTCTCTCTCTCTCTCTCTCTCTCTCCCTCCCTCCCTCTTTCACTCTCTCTTTCTCTTTCTCTCATAACCTAAGTTCTCAACCTCAAATTTCAGAAGACACACTATATCCAGATAACTCCATAAATCATTATTAATTGAATAATTCTGTGAAAGCTTTGAAAACAAAAAGTAGTAGAATTGCTAAATTAATATTTTAAATGGTATATGCAGTCACATTAAGGAAGCTTAAAGAACATAATTGATTTTCTTACCTTTCATGCATGCTCCTAAGCTAGACACTAAGTGCTTAGAAGTCAAAACCTACTGATGTAGTTAACTTCATCAGGAAATTTCTGTTACTGGGTTGAATCATTGATTGAGAAAATTTTCAGTGTAGATTTAATGAGTATACTTGCAAATATTTTTTCTTGCAATTAATAAAGTTTTGGTGGGCCTTCAAATTGGTACACCCAAAATGGTTTTCCAAAATGCTTGACTTGATATTCGGTGAAGAGTACTGTAAGGTAATTTAGAAAACAGTGTGAGAATGGGGTTTTGAATTTCCTGCTGAGATTTCAGTGGTGTCTTTTAACTAGCATGAGTACCTAACTATCTTGTCACATTAGGTTTGATATCTGGGAAGCTCTTAGCACAGTGCTTAGTATATCCTCAATAAATGCTGTACAGAATAAACAGTTTTGTAGTGACCAACGATCATTGAAAAAAAAAAAAAAACACTTGATTTTATTTGAAAGCCAGTTTCCTACAGACACTCATCTAAATAAAAGTAAACATAAAAAGATACAGATCTCTTAAATTGGTGCTCTGTCAATATTCAAGTTGTATTTATTTGAAAAGGTTTTTTTGGTAAAATTTCTAACAAGATATTCAAATAATCACAATCTCTTTTTTTTTCCAATTCTGAAATGAATGATGCTGTTATGTATTTTTGCTCACATAGATATTCCCCCCATTGACCTCAATAATTTGCTTTATTCATCAAATTTGGTTAAAAAACATAAAGAGGATTTGGTGTAATATGCAACCTTTTCTGTGAATGAACTATTTTTTTTTCTTTTGTGGGACCCTCGCCTGCGGCCAGGGAATGAACCTACACTGCAGAGGCTGCAGCCCGCCTCGCAGCCAAGTGGTATATTTCTTAGTGATTTGAATGTATTTTATATTATTAATTTTCTAGAGTTATAGGGATAATTCAGCTAGAATATCGAATAAAATAACTCCCAGAATCAAATGATGACTAGGAATTATTGTCAATATTGAGAAAAAATAAGCAAGCAAAATAAGAGAAGACAGCTTCTCCTAATGAATGAAGAAAAAAATAATAGAGCAATGTTTTTGTTAAACCTCCTATCCTGAAGTCTGAACAATCTTTATTATATCTTTCTGTTGAGTTAGATAAGAGACTACTAAGAAAATTCAGTCCATTGATGTATTTCAATCGACTAGCTGTGGTGTTTTACTGCAATAAATATAGAGAGTCGTTTTTCTAAATGTGAAATATGTAGATTAGCTAAATAAGTAGAACAGCGGTTCAGTGCTGTAAATGGGCATGCCTTCTTACCTGATCTCAGCTTCTTTTAACCTGCATTATCTTTTCTTTGTTGAAGTTAAGTTGACATCAGAAAAGAATTTAGTGCATTCCAGTGATCCAGTGATGTTTTTATTTTTAAATCACAGTTTGATTCAAATTGTATTCCATTCAAGAGCTTATAATTTCTGAAAAAATATCTTCCTTTTTTAAGATTTATTTATTTCTTTATACAAGCACTGGGTACAGTCAGACGTGCGGGAGGGTGAGAGAATCACCAGAGCCAGAGCAGGTTGCAGAGCAGGCAGAAGGACCGAAGTACACTGCTTAGGGGAGCAGCGGGCAGCAGGAGAGGTCTGCTGCGCACCATGTGGGACCCTTGCCTGGTGGCCCAGGATGGAACCAGTGCTGCAGAGGCTGCAGGCAGGTTCGCAACCCAGCGCTCAACTGCTGCGCCACCGGGGAGACCCTGAAAAAATATCTTTTAAAACTTGTTTTTTATGGATAGGTTAGGTGATGGAAGTTGTTCAGTGTTGGTGGAACTTCAGCTGAATGTTCAATTTGAGAAAATGGGAGCATTAGATAAGATACCAGAGTTTTTTTAAATATAAGTTTCAGTGAATTCAAGTTGATTTAACATTTATGAAAGAAATACTGTGTTCTGTATGACAATACACTGGTTTTACCTTTGAAAAGTTATCGTTAAACATAAATATGTAGAAGGCACCCATATTACTAAATAGTTGGTATTTTGGTAGAAGCCCATGGTATTGGTGTCAGATTAAGACTATAAGCTTAGTGAAAAGATCTGGGAATTAAATAATTGAACAAGTGGTAGAGTAAAAATTTTCAGGTCTTCCAGGGTTATGTGATATTTTTTAGAGTATGGCTATGTGTCGCTTAAATGACTGGCATATCCTGTAATTCTCAGTATCCTAAATCTTTATTACTTAGTTTTAAAACTTCTCCTAAAGTTAGAGTTCTAGACTTAACTGTATTATGTTTCTTCTGTTTTGGTAGAGTTGGTCAAAGCATCTCCAGCATCACATAGAAACTGTGAAGTTATTTTAATCCACATTAATGTTATCTAACTGCTTCTGTAAGAGCTCTGTTTACAAACTTGAGTGATGTGTTATTTTACTGAAAATTAGAGTTTCTTTTCAATGAAAGTAAGAGGAAAAATGAGACAGTATGTATCCCAGCATTCTGATCAGCATTGTAATTGTTCATCTGCTTATATTTAGTGCCTAAGTGAGTAAAAACAAACTATTGGTCAGTGTCAAAAGGAAGAAGAACTTATTTATTTTCTTATAAAAATAAGTGAATTAAAGAAATAGGACCGGATGAGGTCAGTAAAAAAATGGAAATAATTCACTTTCTAAGTCTGGATTTTTGAAAGGCAGTGAATAACTTGAAAGAAAATCAAATCTGTGTGTTCTGTAATTATCTGTTTTATACCAGCTTTACTAATTATACTAGTAGCATTCTTGATTTTTCTTTGCCATTTTCCTCTCTTTTATTGTTACACTCTCAGAGACAGCACAATAAAAACTTCGTGGCTTTTGAAGAAATTCCCTTTTATTAACTTGGTAGTGTATTCTCTGGACTCCTACTGAGCACATGCCTCTGTACAGTGAATTAGAGTCAACTCCTGCCTGTATTTAAACTCAGGAGATTGCCTTCAACTTATTGCTTGCGTTTGTAAAAGTTTTTGAATTTTGGGTCAGAATTCATACTTTACTACCTGAAGTATTCTCTCCCCCTCAAATTTTTAATATTTTACTCTCTTAGTAGTGATATCAATAGTACTGTTTCCTTTTTCTCCCTTTTGTACTCTATTGGACATTCTAAAGAAAATACTAATTATTTTGGAAATTTATTATTCAGCTTGTAATGGCAGCATCTGTTATATTTATGTTTATGATTTACATGACTTAAGTAGTTTTAATTCAGATAATTGACAATTATTTCAATAAAATAGTTCCAATAAAGATTTTTTTGTATTTTTTTTCTTTATGGAAGTAACATTGGCTTAAAACATTGATAGGGAAATAGATTCACACTTCCTCAGAAACAAAGATTTTTAACTTTATGGCATGTGGAAAGTAAAATATATCACATGCAAAAATTTCTTATTAACTTAAAATTATTTCTAATAATTTTTACATGAAGTAGGGAAAAACTTTAAATATATTTGAAAATGTTCAGTTTTTATTATGTAAAGATTACTCTTTTGTCACTACATAAGAATTCAGAGAAAGACTGCTCTGACTGAGACAGGTGCGTCACTTTCTTCACCTGCCTCATAAATAATTATTATTTTCACAAGACAAATTGTTATTATAGTCGATGCCACCCTGTGCTTACTTTTGCTTGCACAGCAACACATTTTTAACTTAACAATCTATCTTTGGTTTTCAGGAATAATATAATTCGTTAACGTATTTCCTAGTTTCTTAACCTGTCCTTAAGCAGATAGCAGAAGAGTATCTTTTATCTCTGTATCTTCAGGAGGTTGTACTTAGTAGGTGTTTTATAACTGCAATTATTAAAGGGGGGAAAGTCTATGTAATTTGAAATTCAGCTGTTGCTGTTCATCCAGTAAAAAAATTCATTTATGAAGATGAATAATTTCTAGAGATGTGCTGTACAAAATTATGCCTATAGGTAACAATACTGTATTGTTCAATTAAAATTTTAAGTGTGTGAAGTCTCAGGTTGAAATAATTATGGAAGAAATTTAACACCAAAAGAATCTAGAGTGGAGTCTGTTCATGAGTAAAATTTTATCATTAAGAAAAAATGGGTAACAGTTACAATTGAGAGAGAATGCTAGAATGTGAAGAGAAGCAGTTTGAATTATCTTAATATTTGGGACTATTAATTACCTTATAATTTATGATTAACTAAAACAGTGATTTTCAGTTTGCTTTGCAGAATATCTAAGGCATTTGGAATGCCTCCAACCCCAAAGTTTCTGGGTGAAATATAGTGGTGTCATTATTTGGGGTTCTGATTCACCAGAATACTTCATTGTTACCTGTTTAATTGGTACTCACTAAGGTTTTATTGTATAAAAAGATTTTAAGGTCAATATTTTAGAAACCATTTAAATTAGTGAAATGTCTAAATACTTACAAATTCTGGCAATCATGTCAAAAAACAGTTCTTAGACTTGTGCAAAATGCACTGGTTACCAGAGGGCACAGGGCAAGGATGGGTTCAGGGCATTGAAGGGGTTTGGTGAAGGATGAATGAAGCTTGTCACATATATAGGAGTAAAAATGTAACCACAAAGTTATATAAACATGTAAATGACTAACAAATCAATTTTTAAAATGCTCAACAAAGATGAACATGATATCTTTCATTCTTTTAATCGCCTGTGGCACAACTACAGTGGAACATGCCATCGAGTCAGTGTCTGTATAATTTTTTAGTGTAGTCACTACTAGTTAATGTCGGTGGAGGAGTCAAATCCTTTTTTTTTTTTTTTTAAATGTTTCTTTTTTTTTTTTTAAAGATTTATTTATTTATTTATACAAGCACGGGGTACAGTCAGAAGTGCGGGAGGGTGAGAGAATTCACCAGAGCCAGAGCGGGGAGCAGAGCAGGCAGAAGGACCGAAGTACACTGCTGAGGGGAGCAGCGGGCGGCAGGAGAGGTCTGCGCGCCATGTGGGACCCTCCTCGGTGGCCGGGGAGCAGCCGGGGAACGAACCGGCGCCGCAGAGGCCGTGGGCAGCTTCGCAACCCAGCGCTCAACCGCTGCGCCATCCGGGAGGCCCTCAAAATCCTTTTGCTGTCTATATTGTCCTATAGTTTTATAGGACCATTACAAGGTTTATTTTAGTCTAAGAAAGGAACGTGCTAAATCAGATGAAGGAAGGAAGAGATGTGAAAAGAGAGTTCTTATAGGTACTGTGTCTGAAAAATACAAATTCAAATGAACATTCAAATAATAACCCTTAAGTTGTGATTATAAGGAGAAAATACTTACTACAGTTTGTTAATTGTGGAAAGGTCTACAAAGCTCATTAAATACGTGTTGAAGAGGCAATTGAAATCAGTCATGTTTTCAGTTGGGAATCTTAAGACAAATTATTTTATTCTATAAATTATGAAATTATTCACCAAAATGTTTAAACCTGCCAAATCAATATAAGAGTGGGAAATAAAATCTGCATTTCTTGGAAATGCATTTCATGTTGTCTCCCTGGTCCTTGCTCCATACCAAACAAGGAATTAAACTAAATGAAGCATTTTCACACATACTTGAATATTCAAAGTAATTAATGCATTAACAGGTCTCTGTATTTGAATAAGTTGTATGTTCTATGAAGTCATTGAACTAATTGTAACATAAATTCAAAGTTAATTTTCAAGCAGTGATAATTATGTGTATCTATTAACAGGGCTACTCTGATGTGATGCTGGGTTTGAACTTACCTGGGACTCCACATCAAAGTTGACTCGAAAGTCTTGTGGAAGATCTGCAAGAAAGAGGTAAGTGGCCTTCTGCCGATAATTCTCCTTCATTCATTGTGCTTATTTTTTCCTAATGTTTATCTCTTTCTATAATTTATTGATTAGGTATCTTTGCCCAAAGTTAAAAAAAGAAGTTATGGGTGAACCAGAGACATGTTATGCCTGGCAATATGAATATTTGACCTGTCTCCTCTCTTGTGCTTCCCATTTCACTCCTTGTTGTTTTCCCTTCTCCTATTAAATTTGGTTTCACTTTAAAAAATTATAAATTTATTAAGAATGTGAATTTGGTTTTAAACATTGAAAAGAAGTGATTAGACAAGAAAAGCCTTCCAAAGTATTTTCAGTAACCATTATTTTGGACTTTTATAGTAGTGTTTGCAGTGTTATTTTATTAAGTTCAGTTGATATTGAGTATTTGGGGGCTCTAGAAATGTCAGAAAATAAAGAAATTAATATACTAGTAACTTCTTTTCTTTGAAGTTTAATTTTTCTTAAACAATATACTTTAGGCCCAGCAGATACTGTTCATAAAAAATGTTTTCAAGTTGCCCTTCTTTAACCTTATAGTTTTCCTTGACATTTACAGTGCCAATTTAGAGACTTTAATTCTGTTTTTCCCACAAAACAAGGACCATGGAGTCAAATTGACAATCATTTCCAAAAGATTCAGATTTAATTTCCCACTCTTACTCAAAGTAAAATGCCTGTAAAATTAGCTTGTCGTTGTCATTGTTATGTTACAGTATCAATCAAACGGTATGTCATGGGTGGCCAAATTTGCCATTATGTAATTATAAAAAGAAAACCAAAAGAAATTTTAGATGAGGAGTGTGCATAATTCCTTTGCTTAGTGTTTACCTGTGAAGAAAGGGAATCCTAAGTGCCCTGATGTCTTCAAAATTCTTTTAAGGGGGTTTAACATAGAGTTGGAGAGACCTCAAGAACTCCACTATCTTGCCTACCTTGTTCTCTCCTTGTCTCTTACTTTCTGCAGACAGAGGTGCCATACCTTCCCTGAGAGATTATTGTAAATGTGTTTGAATTATACAGTCAAATATTCTCCAGGTATTTGGCCTACTATTGTGCCTGTGGAATTTTTGTTATTTTGTTTCAGCTATAACATGTTGCCAGATAAAAATAAAATGCTTCCATATTTATCATTTAAGATTTTTGAAGTGCTTTTGCAACATTTTTCTTCAACTTTTTCATTAAATTCATTAACTTTACATTGCTTTACATTAACTTTACATTCATTAACCTTGCATTGCTAATGATGTACGATTGATATATCCTTTGTTTAATAAGTGGAGAAATTAAAAGTAGATTTTAACTGATATGGGAAAAGTAGTATAGCTTTGTTGTGATTTTCTTATTAATAACAAAGTGTTCTTAGAACCCATATCTACTAGTGGCCAATCTTTTCTTTCTGTTTTATATGATTTATACCTATACAACCATAGATAATGTTACATTGTTATAATGCATCTTTGTAAGACATTTTTAATATTTAAATTCTCATGTTTTGAATAATAGAACATTTATTTTAATAGCAGGGGGATTGTAGATTTATAAACAATGTAGATTTCTGACAGTGAGAGTACCATGAAACCATGAAATAAACAAATTTTTGAAAACAGAATATTCTTTCCAGAAGGAACATAATTGTATTTGAAGTTAGTCCTCAAAACTGGAACTCGCTAATTAGATTTTTTTCTAGTCAGTGTTTTTAATAGCCGTTTTTAAATATTTAAATTAAGACCAACCACATATTGCTGTAAGTAATGTATATATACAATGACAAAAGTTACTCTTAAACTAAAAAGTATAATATTAAAAAACATTTTTACTTGGAGATATGTAGAATTATGTATCCCAGATGGAGGGTGGTATGAAAAGAGAAGCATTAAGGTATGAAAAGGTGAGGATTTCAGTCTAAGGAAGACAAGGATTTGTGTCCCTGCAGCCACTTGTTAGCTTTCCAATAAACCTTGGTTAATTACCTTAAATCAGTGTACTTTAGTTTTTGAACAGTAAACTGAGGAACAAGTAATGTTTATTGAATTCCTATAAAAATCGAGTGTTTGGTGTATATATAGTTATATTTAAGAACTGTTAGTTTTTTTTAGTTTTTTTTTTAATTCCCTTCCCACTCCTATGTTCCTCCCCATCCTCAAATTCCTGAAGTGAATTCTTGGTTGAATCATCCTATTTTTAAATGATATGTTTGGTGTTATCCTCACTTTACCTCTCAGACTAAATTACCTATCCTTCATTATATTTCTAAAATGAGGACAAAATGTCCCATACAGCTAACAAATGAGTGTTGTGTATATGGGTAATTAGGTAACTATTTATGTAGATGTGTGTGTTCTGCTTTGTGATAGTCACAGTTATTTCAGTTTCCATTGTAAGGGTATTAAATCCAGATAGAATATCAATTTCAGTTATTTTAATGGACTAGTAATAAATTTACTTCACACACTTATAGAAAATTGTTATAAATTTCATGAAAACTTATTAAAATTAGTTTTATCATCATAACTAAATAGGTATTTTTTCTAATTTTCAAATTATTGAATTGTAAATGGACTATGCAGATAGCTGATTTGACTGAGCAGGGATTGCATCAGAGATTCAGATACATGGTATGCATGCATCCCTTGAAAAAAAGTAGCAGAGTGAACATAATTGCAGATAGAGAGATTATATAGAGTGTATCTGTTGGAAATCAAATTGTCTGGATTTGAATTATGACACCCAAACAAACCAACCATATATGAAACCTTGGATAAATCTTTTAAACTCTCTAAGCCTAACTCTTAATTTCTGAATCTAGAAAATATAGCTAATACCGCCTTCAAATCAACAGACTTGATTTGAAAACTAAATGTGTGAATATATATATATATATATATATATATAGAGAGAGAGAGAGAGAGAGAGAGAGAGAGAAAGAGAGAGAGATAATAAATATTGAAAGAATGTTGTTGCCTTATTCGTTTCAAAGGCTGATTTTTATCTGGTAAGTTGGCAAATATTCTGTATAACATTCTATCATTGATCCAAGTAATGGTAAAACTTAAGTTGATTCTGTAACTTCTTTCTGTGTTTCTGTGTTTAGTTTTCTATGGGTGTGTGATGAAATACCACATATTTAAAATCTTAAAACAACAATCATTTATAATCTCAATTTCCATGGGTCAGGAGCTCAGGCACAGCTTAGTGATGGTCTTAACAAATTCTCAATAAAAATAATTACTGGGTTGCATTTCCATTAGGAGTTCATGGTCCTCTTCCAAACTCACTTGTTTTGAGGCAGATTCAGTTTATTGAAGTTATCAGATTGAGGGCCCACTTCCTAGAGATCACTAAAGTTTCCATACATGTGGCCCTCTCTCTGTAAGTTTCACATCTTGAAAGCCAATTGGAGAGTATTGACTATGTGTGTATGAATGCATGCATGTATGTATGTGTTTATGTGATTAATGGTGAGTGTTTTATCACAATTACTTACTTCCCACAACCTTTGTCATATATTGATTAGAAATAAGCCATAGGTCCTGGCCAGGTATAAAAGGAAGGGAATGATAGAAAGCATGAATATGTGGGCCACCCTAAGTTGTACATGACACAGCATGCTGAACTTAATTTAATATTTATGTAACTTATTATTTTAGATTTTTACAATTATGCAATATATAAGAAAAAAAGGAATATTGTCATTGATGCTAAAATTTTATTCTCAGGTAGCTATGCTGAACTCCCAAAAGGCCTGTCTGTCTTGTCTTATTATTTTACTATTCATTATTTCAATAAGTACAACCTAGCTTGGTATTTAATGCTCTATAATCTGACAAATCCCAAATATCCAACCTTGACCTGCATACTTTACCTTTCCTGCATCTTTTTCAAAGCACACCATCTTGTTTCTTTCCCTTCCCCCTCTTCCATTACACTTTTTTTGTTTCTTTTCTACTTTTTAGAAAGGCTGGAACTTTTCCCTATAGTATTAATTACATCAGTATTGTCTGTAATGTTGAATAAACTAGCATCTTAATATATTGTCACCAGTATATAAAATACCATCTTTGTTTAGAACAGTGGGCAGTTAGAGCATCCTATTCAGTTTAGGAAAAAATACTTTAAAGGATGATCTTCAGAAGCTGTCTACTCAGTAATTTGAAGAATTCCTTCAAGAACTCCTGAATCGCTCTTAAGAACCCATTACAGAAAATAATCCAGTCAAAAAATGGGCAGAAGAGCTAAAAAGAAACTTCTCTGAAGAGGAAATGCAAATGGCCAACAGACATATGAAAAAATGTTCAACATCTTGTAATCAGGGAAATGCACAACCCAAATGCCCAAAAATAGATGACTGGATCAAGAAGATGTGGTACATATATACCATGGAATATTACTCAGCATTCAAAAAAGATAAACACATGCAATTTGCAGCAACATGGATGGCGCTGGAAGGGATCATGCTCAGTGAAATAAGCCAAAAAGAAAAAGAAAAATACCGGATGGTCTCACTCATAGCAGGAATCTAGAAAACTTAAATAAGGGACCAGGAAAATGAATATAAGAAAGTGAAAATCAAAATCAACAAAAAACTATGAACCAGAGACACTTTTTTGGGGGTGGGGGGTGGGAGGGGAAGGATTGGGGTCAGAATGGGGCGTTTGCAATTGTATGGGGGAATATAAAAATAAAATTTATTATTTAAAAAAAAAAAAAAGAAAAATAAGTAACTACACATGGTGACAAATGTTGATTAAATCTATTGTGATGTCAATTCAAAATGTATATAAATATTGAATCATTGTGTTGTATATTGGAAATTATATCTATGACTACATGTATAACTATATTAACATGTTATATAAAGTAAATGTTATATTTCAATCATTAAAAAAAAAAAAAAGAACCCATTACAACTTACAGATTTGGAACTGATTTTACATGGGAAGAATGTGAATGTTTGGGGTCCAGAGGGTAGCCTGTAAGATGGCTCCAAATGATCCCCATCTCCTGGTTTACATAGCATTTTTTTTTGCCCATATATATCAGACTTGGTTTATGTGACTGATAGAATTGGCACATGTGATGCTATACTGTTTTTCAGATTAGGTTAGGCAAGATAATAGGATGCCTTTTTGGGTTTTCTCTCTCCTGTCCGCTCCCTTTCCTTCTTCTCCGCCACCCCCTTTAAAAGTTGGTATGGGTTAAGGCTAGCTACCAGCTCAGAGGAACTGGGAATAATAACTTGCAAATTCCTGAGAAACTTTGCACTTTAACCACCCAACTGAAATGCTGAATTCCTGATCTCAGAAACTGTGTAAGACAATAAATGTCTTTATTCTAAGATGCTACTTTCAAGGTAATCCATCATGTAGTAATAGGTAATTAATATATTATATAATATTGTACCCCTGAAATTATTTCCACAATTTCAATAGTCTTTGACTTTACTTGAAATATAGGATTAATAGTATATTAAATATATGTTCTCTGAAGCCAGTGTAGTAGAAGAAATAGGCACGTATATTTGTAAGATAGTGAGCCAAGGGAGAAGAAAATGAGAAATGTAGAAGATCTGTTTAGAATACAATAAAAAAAAATTCTTCCCGTTATAGATTCCGAGTTTGCAGAATTTATTCTACTAGTCAGTCATGCTGGTTTTATGTTGTTTCCCTTTAATATCCTCATAGAGTTGTAAAGAATAGAGTTGCATGGAGCTATCTAGATATATGTAGACATATTTTGGGTATTGTGCTTTGGAATGTTAAGTTCACTAGAAAATAATGCATTTGGTCTCCAGGAAAGTGAGTTGAGAAGCACATGTCAGCAGGTAATAGGGTGACATTTAAAAATAAGTTTATTTAAAACCATCGTTTAGAATTCCACACCTGTTGAATGAACTCTGAAGCTAAAAATTGGACAAAAATATTGCATTATATTTTTGAAAAGACAGAAAAAGAAACTTGTTCTCATAAGAAAAAAAAGAGAGCTTATATTTATAATTTTAAATTTGTGGCATGAAGTTGACCCACTAGTAAAATTTTTGATACCATTATACAAAATAGCAAAATATGGATTTGTAACTGGCCTGCTCTTCAATTCAGCTGAACATTAAGTACATTTTTAATGGTCTTATTTGCTGGGAAGAGCACCATTACAATAATCTGCTTTTTACAGCCCATATCAAATATGAACCAGCATCACTTATTACAAAGTTTGTGTTTTGGGAGACATTTTCACGGCATCTGACAGTACTGCTCCACATTTCTTGGAATTAGTCTTTAATGATATCATTTTCCAAAATGATTTGTTGCTCAAACTTACTGATTGTTTTGTGATTAAAATGTAGTCCAGCAACTATATTTAAAATGTCACACAAATTTGTAAGGAAAGGTCCACTGAAACTATTATTGTATTAATAATTGTATGAAAATGTTATAGAAGAAATTCTATGTAGCTTGAATGTTTTTAGTTTTTTCTTTCCCTATGTGATTTAGAGTGGTGAATGTGAAATCTCATTTTTAGCTGTTGGCAATTCAAGTTTTTACTATTTTCTGTTGAAGAACAGAGGACTATTACTGTAGGTGTCATGTAAAATAAAGTTAGAGTCTGAAGCTTCCTTTTAGCTGTCAGACTTTTTAAGGAGCTGTTCGGTGTTGAGCCCAGCGCCTGGCATTGTATAAGTGATGTATGTGAGTGCTTGGGGAGAGCATTCTTCCTTTTCATTGAGGCTTTATTAGGCCCTGCTCACATTTTCACTGTTGCTCTGACTTATCCAACTTTCTAGCTGCAACTCACAGCACAGTAGGTCTAATATAGATTGACGCCTTTGCCTGAAGAATGATTGAAACTTGTGTCTGAGTTGCTAATGTTCACTGAACCATTTTATTGAAGATAAAGTAAATAAAATAGATTGCCATATGAGAATTCTCTGAAATCAAATGGAATAATTTGGCAGGTTTAAACCCATGAAGGCAAAGCAGTGAAACAGATGTGAATACATTTTATGTTCAGTATATCAAGGGATAAATATTCTTGTGATATTGGGCCTAAATATTCATTTTTGTCAGTACAATTAAATGTTAAACATAATTTGCAGTTGCTATATAATTTTGGTCTTAAACAAACAATGGGTCCATTGCAAGCGAGTAATATGAGTAAAAACTTTGAGACCGCAATGTGTGATGATTTTTTTCTAACACTTAAGTGCATGGATCAGTAGCTTCAGAGAATTTAATAAACAACACAAATGAATGGATTTGCCAGAGTGCACTCTAGAATCTTAAGGCTGGAGATTATGTTAATCTTAGCCTCTTAAAAGACACTAGTAATCTTTAGCATTATTTTCATTAATTAATAAAAGTATGTGTTTACTTGGGAGGACTCTGTCCTGTGAAAAATTTTTTGTTTTGAACAAACCTGTTTTAGGTTTACATAAAATTATGAAATAATATCTTTTGTTAATGTTATCATCTAAAATAGTTTTGGGGAGAAGAAAATAAAAAAATAGCATCTTGAATTCTATGAAATTATGATTATAATAGCATATGATACTATAATAATATTTATTGACATGTTTAATTTGTAAAAAGAAGGATCTCAGCATTTGTATGAGGATGTGTGGAAAGTGATGTGGGGAAATGAAGATGTCTTATTTGATTGCCTGGGTCAGATTAAAAGTAAATATTTATAGGAGAAATCATTAATAGGGTTTTGTTAGAAAAGTTTCTGCACTTACTAATTAAAGACAGTTTTTCTTTTCAATCTTAGAATCTATCACATTAATACTTTTCTCCTGTTTTATCCAAATTCAAGATAATTTCAGTTTATACTCTCCTTATGTGTTTTTAATGTTTAAAAATTTACTAATTCATTATATTAGTTTTTCAGGTAATGATTTTTTGCTTATTTTTAGTTATATCCATTAAATACTTGTGAATAGTAATCAGCCATTCTCACAACTATTATTTATTATGATTTCTTGGTTTTGTTTTTTAAGATTAATTAATTTATTTATACAAGCACTGGGTACAGTCAGAAAGAAGCACAGGAGGGTGAGAGAATTCACCAGAGCCAGAGCGGGGAACAGAACAGGCAGACTGACAAAATACACTGCTGAGGGGAGTAGCAGGAGCGGCAGGAGAGGTCTGCACGAGTAGCAGGAGCGGCAGGAGAGGTCTGCACGTCATGTGGGACCCTTGCCGGTGGCTGGGATCAAACTGGTGCTACAGAGGCTGCAGGCAGCTTCGCAGCCCAGCGCTCAACCACTGCGCCACCAGGGGAGGCCCATGGTTTCTTTTTTTTTTTAACATTTTATTTTTATTTATGTATACAGCACCTGGAATGTAAGCTAGATATGTGGAGGGGTGAGCGGCTTCCCTAGAGACAGAGTGGGAAACAGAACAGGCAGATCTACTGAAATATACTGCTGAGGGTAGCAATAAGCGAGACAGAAGAGGTCTGCTGTGCCATGTGGGTTAACTCCCCGGCCTAGGATCAAACTGCTGCCCCAGTAACTGGGGGTAGCTTGATAGTGCTGAGACTTTAACCCCTGTGCCACCAGTGAGGTCCAGCAGAACCCTGATTCTGTTAAAATATATATTTCATTACATAGCATCTAGTTCATGAGAAACTGACCCTTTGTGCCCAGTTCCAGTGGGTGAGTAATGACTGTTTTATTATGATATTTCCATTCTATTGCCAACAATTGCTTTTTTATGTTTTATTATTGAATTAATGTATATTAAATCATGGTGTTAAATTAATTAATGTGTACATAAATAAATTTGGAATTGTATTAATTTATTATTTTTAGAAACTTCCCTATCTCAACCAATTAACTTTCTTTTCTACTTAAACTTTTCGATTTAAATTATTTTTTACTTGATGCTATTGATATTCTAATTAATACATTCATTTTAATTATTATTGAAGAATTGTACCCTAAACAGATTCTTTTCACATTCCATGGTTCTCTATATATAAAGCAGGATGGGTTTAGAAAAGAGAATTGAGGAGTTTAGAATGAAAAAGAGAACGGGACTTTATCTTCCAAGAGTTATTAATAATAAAAATTATTAAAAGGAAAGTGGTTTCTGTGCCTTTTTAATGGGATTTTGAAGGCATTGGAAAAGATATTTAAATACCTTTTTTTTCCTCATCTGAGTAATGTTTCTTCTCTGCTTCATCTTCTTGTTGTCTTACTATAAATTAGAGGACAGATGCTTAGAGTCTTACATTCCCTCATATCACAGATGAGGAATCAGTGTAAATAACTATGGGAAGGAATATTGTTAAATAGATTATGGAATACTTAAACAATGAAATAACAAAAAATAATTTGGTAAATGAATGATACAGGTTATAAAACTATTTTGATAAAAGTTTTATTAAAGTACATAATATTCATAGGAAAATTATAAATACCTGTGTACATATTAAAAACCAGTGGTTTCTGAGGAAACAACTTTAAGATTTTAATTTATACATTTCTGTGTGATTGAAATGTATTTTTTCTGAAATAAGAAAAATATGGAAATAAAATTAAAAAATAATCTATTTAATTCTCTCCAATTGTAATTCTCTGGTTAATACATAATATACTGCTATATACAATTACACAAGCACCCCATGTTCTAGCATTCTCAATAATAAAGATTTAATATGTCCTGTCTGTGCTTCAACTCAGGATTTTAACACCTTTAGAGACAATGATGTTGTAGATCACATTAGTCATGAACCTTGAGAAACTGGAATTTTAATTTCTGCAGAATTTTTTTCTTGATATCTGTATACTTGCCATAACATTTAAATGTTAGCTATTTAATGGTTTATCTTTCAGAAATGTCATTTATAAAACATGAAAAATACTCCTTTCCATGTATAAGCTAATTTAGAATTAATTATAAAAAACAAAACTAACTAGGCCAAGTGCTTCTTAACCCCTTGAAACATAAGTATACATTTTCTAACCGATATTTTATAAATTTTCCTTTACTTAAATTTTTAGGTATGTTTTGGTACATGCACATTGAAAAATAAATACAATGATTAGGAATGACTAAATTAAAAGGTATATGAAATAATTGTTAACTATCCCACTTGTAGGATAACTATGATATTTTTTTTTTTAAAAAAGAGACATGTACCATCATTAATGCTTTTTTTCTAAATGGTGAAAATCAAACAAGTTCTGAATAAAATAAACATTACTTTGACATATAATATCACTGAACTCCTGGAAAATGCAATGTATGTTAAAAACATGAAACAAAACCTTGGATTTTATATGTGAAATAAAATTAGGTCTAGCCACAGATTTTTTAAATGAATGATTACAAAAACTCCTGCAAGATGCAATTGCATTCTACTTCATTGCAGGAAATCTAGCAAACCTAACTACTGCCCACACATGTGAGCAACGTTTCATGTTTTCCCTGCAACCAAAAATTCTTCAACAAATTTTCAAAGTACCCTTAAAAAGCAAAATGGGTTCTCCTAAGAATCTCTTTTCTGTGTTGAGAGACCAGAGTTCTTCTTTGTCTCTGTTCCTATGTGAGAACTTAGACAAGTCTGTTTATATGTCTGCATTTTAAATTAATGATTTATTGGTTTAAAAATGTTTTTTAATAGATATTTTGTCCTAAATCACTATGATCTCTTTTAAGTGTCACATTAGGTAAAATAGTCCTCACTATTGTCAACATAACTTGGAGAAATCCTCTAATTTTTTTCAGAAGGATTTACCATCTTAGATGACTCCATTACTTTCCACGGTCTGGTTAACATCCTAAAAATTGGGTATTTTTCCTGATATCTTGTATTTGGCATTTGAATAAATTCTCTTAGTTTTTAGTCAATTTAAGGAAGGTAATTATAAAAAAGTTAGGAGTATACCGCTTTATTAAATGGCAATATTTGATAAATTGACCATTTGTGATTGGTGTGCTCAGAAGAAGTAATTCTCTGAGACTGTGATTAGCAGAAGTTATCCTATGGCATTTTTCTATTGAATTTTAACTGAAGATTTCAGTGATCATCATGATCAGTTAACTCAGTTTATTGACTGCTGTCATGCATGCAGTTCTGTACTTTGAATGCTTTTAGTAATTTCCACATTGTTATACAGTGATTCGTATAATACATATTTGTACCTAAGGAAAAATGGGTCATTTGGAGAAATGACAGTATACACCTTTACTTTCATGATGTAAAAATGTTGATGGTAAAAAGGTATTGGGTGTTAGAAATTTATATAAAATTCAAATATTTATTTAATGTAAACTTCTTTGAACTAGCTGCTTCCAAATACTCCTCCAACTAGTTTAAATAATTAATTTATTTAATGTTCCTAATACTGTTAATAGGATGTTCTATCATTTTTCCCATTTTAAGATGAAAAAATAGACATAATTAGTAAGAGGAGAGCTAGAATTTAAACGTAGAAAGTCTAGTTCTAGAATTTATGCCTTCAACCTATGAATTATTGTAGAAGACATCCTAAGTCACCCTTAGTCACCCTGAGGTGACTCTTTAAGAAGTCCCACTTCTTTAAGAAGTGGGATGGTCATTCCAGTGAATTTTCTGATGCTATAAAGGAAATCTCAATACTAAGAAAGTAAATATCAAAGTCATTGAGGGATTGATTTTAGGAGGCTTGTTTGACAAAAGCATTGGCGCCATAAATAACTCTTTCTTAAAAACATTCATATCCACGCTGTCTGCAACCATGCTTTATCTTGTTGCTTTGTAAATCATTTTTTTTAGAGGCATGTTTTATTTATTTATTTGTTTGTTTTGTTTTGTTTATACATGCACTGGGTACAGTCAGAAGCGCGGGAGGGTGAGAGAATTCACCAGAGCCAGAGCGGGGAGCAGAGCAGGCAGAAGGACCGAAGTACACTGCTGAGGGGAGCAGCGGGCAGCAGGAGAGGTCTGCGCGCCATGTGGGACCCTCCTCTGGTGGCCGGGGAGCAGCCGGGGATCTAACCGGAGCCGCAGAGGCCGCGGGCAGCTTCGCAACCCAGCTCTCAACCGCTGCGCCACCGGGGAGGCCCTGTAAATCATTTTTTACCTTGGTCTTATAATTACTTTTCTTAGAAATAAATTTTTACTCCATCTTTCATTAATCTGGTCCCCTTTTTCTATTTATTGTATAACTTGGAAAATTGAAGGCAGTATGTTTATAATTTTGAAAATATACTTTTAATCTCAACTTCTTTGGAGAAGTTAGTTTCATTTCTGCTCAGTTGTTGCTCAGTTAAAACTTTGTCAGCCATTATTATCAATAATTTGTAAATTAGGTAATTTTAATACAGCATATAAAAGTAGAACTCCAACAACATATATTGGAGTTCCAAGAATGAGGAAGATATACAATATTTTATTTAGTTATTCACTAAATTTTCCAATTGCAGCATCTATCATAAACATATAAATGTCATTATAAAACTTTTTGAATGTTTAATATCTAAATTTAGTGACCAAAATAAATGTCATGCTGAATTTTTAACAGGACTTACAATAATTAGATCACTTAATATAATTGGAGAAATGTAATCAGATACAACATACAAGGTGCATTTTATTTTATATGATAATATAAGTAAGTATGTGGTCTCACTCTAAGTATGTGTGTCTCACTTGTAAGATTGTTTGTTCATGAGATGGTAATATAAGTCACCTAGCATTATGGCCACAGAAAGTATCCTATAGCAAACATTGCACACTCTAGCTTCTACAAGACTTTAATTAATGTGAGTTACTAATTTCACATTTTAAACTCTTCAGTGATCAGCCCCTAAGGAAATGGTAAGAAAGTGTGTGTATGTTTTTTGGGGGTGGGGGTGTTCTCATGCTGAACTGGGGAAAAATAAAATGTATAAATTTTCCTTTAAATATCCTTCATTGTTATACCACTAAAATAGTACTTGTATGTGAAAATTCTTAAAATTGGGATTCTGATAATTTCTAATCTTCCTCTACAATCCATTTTGTATTATACTTGTTTTTTACTGATAGTTGTCAGTATTTCCTACATGTTCTCCTTTGCATATCCAAAGAAGTGGTTTGAAATGCATTGTGCCTATTTTAAAAGAAAAAGAGTTAAGATGAGAAAACAATAGTATGCTAGGTAGCACAAAAATATTTTCTTTTAAATTATTTTTATATAATTTTTGCTTGTCCCTCTGACTCTATATATCTTTTAACATTTTCATTTATATGAGAATGAAAAAACACAATGTGCTTGACCTCATTTGACTTTTTTGATGTCGAGTCAGTTAAAAGGTTTGTAAGACGTTTAATTACCAAATAGTATGATCATTATTCATCTCATCATTTGATATATAATGTCAGCTGAATTGCTTCCCTGGAGTGCTCTGTGTTTCACAGATCAATAGATTTACCAAGAGCTCGAAGGAGGGTTTTAAACATGCATTGAAAAGAAGGAAAACATCTCTCTCTTATAAAATCACTTATGCAGTCATTTCATCAGCTTCATAATTATTTTATTTATTTCTGTGAGTAAATCTCCTTATAACAATAGTTTTAGAGTATTACAGCTCGCTCCTTTAAGTAAATTAAATTGTAGTGTTAATCAGATTTCTTTACTGAAATGCTCTGAAAACTATATAACAAAAATAGAGAGGCAGCTTTCTTGAATGAACTCTGCTTTTGACATCTGTATTTAATGATTTCTGTTTAAAATACAGCTCTCAGAATTCTATACTTCCCCTTAAATAATTCTTATAAATACTCTTTTATGTTATTCCCAGTCCTCATTTGTTAGGAAGAATTTGTTATAGGAGAGGTTTGGTATTAGGACAGTTATTCTTTCTTCCGCACCTCTTGTATGTTCACCAGTCCTGACTAAATCTCATTCAAGTGTAGTTAATGAAAACATTTAAAATTCATTAATTGCTGCCATATGTCAGCTTCTTTTAATCATTTCATCTGTATTATCTCACTTATTAACTCAACAGCCTTCTGAGGAAGCTATTCCTGTTCCCATTTTCTGTTGAGTTACCTTACATGCCCAAAGTCTCTCATCTAGTAAACAGAAAAACCAAACTCAGCACCTAGTAAGTGGCTCTTGGCCACTTGTGCATACTGCATCTGGGGCATAAGTGGGAAAACTATTGGAATTTTAAATAGCTAGATCCAAACTTATGTTTGTCTTATAACAAATAATGTAGGCTATCACTTTAAGCTACCTTTCATAGCAGTGTTTAAATATAGGTGTCTTTAATTTGTGGTGATTTAGAAAATGAATTTACATATCAAAGTATGGAATGCTCTAGTCTGTTAGTTAGAAACTGTCAGTTCTGCTATTTTACTTTTTCCTATTTATAATAATAGGCAGCCTATTATTTCAGGGATGCTAGTAAAAGTCATGAAATTCCTAGACCAAACTTAAAGTAATGTATTAGTTACAGCACATCAATCATCATGCACATCAGTCAACATGTTTGCAGCGTTTTGCCTTGTTCCTAAGTGCTGAGGGCATATATGGCCCAGATGTGTGCTATGCACACAGTGGGTATACACCATAACTAAGGAACACTGAGCTGCTGTAATCTGCCTTCTTTTATAGAAAGCAGTAAGCGGCCTTTCTTTGTCCCAGAAAGATACAGTATGTCTTCTTCTCCCCTAGACACTACACTATTATGCTCTAACAAATTAACACAAGCTTTGCAGTTTAAAAACACAGTATTAGCTTACAGTTCTGGAGATCAGAAGTTTGAATGAATCTCAATGGACTAAAATTAAAGAGTCAGAAACATTATGTTGCTTTTGGCAGGGTTCAGGGGAGAATCTTTTTTCTAGTCTTTATAATTTTCTAGAAGTCATTATTTCTTGACTTTTGGGCCTATTCCATCTTCAAAGCTGGTAATGTCCTGTTGAATCTTCTCATATCACATCACTTTGATATTACTTCTGCCTCCCTTGTCCACATTTGAGAATCCCCTGATTATAATGTTCCCATTGGAAAATCCAGTATATTCTACCCTTTTTATAATTCAATTGATTAGTAACCTTAATTGTATCTATAATCTTAATTTCCCTTGTAATATAATGGAATGTTTTTACCAGGAGTTAAAACATGGACATCTTTGGGAGGACATATACTGTCTTGGTACATTTTCACAAGTTGGGTACTTCTTTTTCCACTCTGATTAATCTTACTGACAGAGGTTTAGATCAAATTGTTCAATTTGTCTCACGAAACATTTAATTGAGGCTACTACTAATAGGATTACAAACAGTAAGATAAGGACAACCTGTAGTATTGATCTCAATTATGTCTCAGGATCCTGGACTCATCCACTTTTCAGTAAATACCAAGAAAGACTAGTAGGTCTTATTTTCACTAGCCAAGATAATGTTAGTCCAGTCAGTTATCCATTATGATGCAGACAATGTAGTTTACTGTGACATGCTGATCTTTGATGGCACTACTATAAGGAGAAATAGATCAGACAAACATCAACCCTCTAATGGAGGGACAGTCTGTGGTCCCTTCTCCCTCATGTGAAAACATATGTTTAAAACAGGTCATCACTTCTTTTTGAGCTTTACTTGGGTCATCATTTTAATTGTTTAAGTCATGAGGGAAAAGTCCACTGAATAGCTATAGCTTTGATTCCCATGTACTCCACAACCTGAAGTAAATTGGGGATCAGGAAGACATTTTAATTTATATCAGGAAGATTAAAACAAAATGTTAAGTGTCAAGGAGCATTAATAATTTCTCCTCTCTTCCACCTCCCAGGATCCCATGTGCTAATTCCCCAGTTCCCACATAGGACACTTTAGGAGGCTAGATCACGAGTTATTATTATTATGCCCAAGGTTATATTAATCCAATTAGAGTAAACAGGTAATGGAACTGAAATTAACTTTGAATTCCCTAGATCCTCTCACCTGGACGATATTCTAACCAGGCTGGCTGGGGATTGCTGTTTGGATTAAGAAAAATGTATCATGTCCAGAAGTGATCAAAGCAGAATCCCAAATTTTCAAAATCTTTATCCCTTCATTCTGATGATTCAGGAATGGTCAGAAAAAGATAAATCCTCTCTGGGTAAAGCTACATTCAGTGACCAAACTGCCTTAACTAAGGTGTCAGAGCTAAGAGGAGGTGAGAGAGGATCAGAAATCTCTCAGACTCACCTTTTGAGGAGACTCTTCTAATCCCTAACAATTCAAATGCCTATTGAAGGCAAAGAACACAGACTGTTGATCAAATGACTTGACGTTCAGTTTTTTGTTGGGTGTCCTTTGTGATAAATTGTGCACTGTCAGGCTATAAGTGGTCCAAAATCTGAAATATGATATAGTTATGTTTCAAGCATCATAAAAGTGTGGCCAGAGTTGGCTGATTAGACTGGAACCATGCCACTGAATTCTGAAAGAGTGTCAACAGCAGTGAAGTACCAGCAGTAGCCCTGCAAGGGGAGCAAAGGTCCAATATAGTCAATTTGCCAGAAGCAGGTGAAGTCAACACTGTTTCTGGCAGAAGTAAATTCTCCAGATTCTTTCATGTTCCTGCATGAGAGCAAGGAAGCTCTTTTGAGCAAAGGAACTTCTGCTCTTTTGTTCAAAATATCTCTTCAAAAGTGTTTGTATAATGAACAGTTTCAGAAGATATAGGTATAACTTTCCTCTGTACATGACAGCAGATTTGTTCACTGACCATTGTAATAAAGACAGTCTGTCCCTCTGGAATAAAGATGGGGCATGGTTATGTCCAATGATAAAATATCTATATTCCCTAAATTTTGTGATTTTCCCTATGATATAACCATTGTGTATGCAGTTGTCATTTGGCCCTCACTGCATTTCTGTGTGGAAATTAGAACTCAGGAAAATGTCTAAGTTGTTAATTTTCATTGGATCCATTACCTATTTTGATTTCACAACAAATACTTTCAAAATGGAATGATTTCTATTACCAGAGGTTAAAACTATAATTTGAATTTATCTTCTTCTGACTAAAATCAGCCCAGCAGTCCATCACCTTTGTGATATTACTAAATGTTATGAAATCTTCTTTCCCATTGGTTTTCTGCACAGAGAAATCCATTCATTTTCTAAGTACAGAATAAATGAATTTCATATCTATTATTTAAGCATGAAAGAGAAGGGGAAGATGCATTATAGATTTACATATGACATGTTTATCCAGTGAAAATGGGTTGCTGAAGGGTCTTCTCACTGGGTAAAAGTTATCATTCTGAGCGTAGGCACACTGTTTGTCCCCTCTCCCAAAAATATGACATTGAAAAAGAAAATGTCTTCCAATCTTCCAATTTACACAGCTACTCACTTTTAGGAGAAATAATGATTTTCCTATTGATTGGTCATTCAAACACAATTGCATTTCAGTATACTTGTAAGTCAGTTTTATTTAAACAGTATGAAATATCACCAAAGAACTTCTAATTCTTCTCCAGGGAACAAGTGCAATATAAATACTCTGATGCTGTTGTTATTTTTAGAATTAATCTTTATTTAGCACTTTACTGTCTCCAGTGGCTTCACAGATATTACAACTAGGAAACAGACTAAGAAGTTTTATCACTTTTCTAGATTCAAGATAAGAGTTACGTGTTAGAACTAGAGATAGTCTTTAAGATACAAAATTCTATACTTTTTTTATTTTAAAAATTCTGTCAATAATTTGGATCTTAGGTTTTTTACTATTTCACTCCATGTTTGATTTTAGAAATAAGAGAATGTGATTTTGAACTCAGTATAAGATTTATCCATGGATCTGTTTTGTTTTGTTTTGTTTTGTTTTTTCCCTGTAGCCTGTCCTTTTTAAAATCCAGTACCATCAGTCCTTCTAATCCACCTGCTATAACTCCTTGCTTTTACTTTTTCTTAATATTTCTCTGAAAGGGGTATATCTTCTCTTCACTTCTTTAACCATACCTAATCTTTCTGTATATTCAGATAATATGTTAAGTTTTCTTTTAAGTAACTTTTGTTCACTGTTAATTTCTCTCTGCACATTTTAAGATTTTTCACTTTTATTTTTTCAGGAAAATTTATATTTGCATTTCATCAGAACTCCCTCTTCAATGCTTCTCATTAATGCCATTGCTTGCTGATATTGATGACTCTTTTTTCTCCTTCTCCTCCAATGTAGTATCCCATCCCTTCCTTTGTCACCAGTTGCATTTGAGATATGTCTGCTTTCAGCATAATAATCTGAATAATTGGAAGATAGGACATGAAAGTCTATGAATGGTGTTTGATACCTAAACCTCACCACACAAATGATACTATATATATTTACCCTTACCTTTATAAAATATCAACATATTTGTTTAGGAAACTTTTAATATCTCTTAAGTTTTTAAAAATCTTCCCATTGCAGGCCTCCCCAGTGGCTTTAGAGGTTAAGTCTCAGCGCTATCACTGCTGTGTCTTGAGTTTGATCTGGCCAAGGCGCTAACCCACATCTGGTGCAGCAGACCTCTCCTGTCTCTCCCACTGCTCCCCTTGGCAGTGTACTTCAATAAAATCCATCTGTTCTGCTCCCCACTCTGTCTCTGGAGAATCCTTCACTCCCCTGGCTCCCTGCATCTCTGGCCCATACCCCAGTTCTTCTATGCAAAAAAAAAAATCTTCCCATTGCTATATCTGTGAAAATAACCTTTTAGCAGAGATTATGAAATTCATTTGAAACAAGATTTATGTTTCAACATGAAACTTTCAGTATTCAAAATTGCATATAGATAAATTTAATTAATACTTAAAATGATTTAATATTGGTGGCTGTAGCAGTCTATAAAGCTTCTCAACTTAATGTGAGATTATTCTTCATAGAGAAATTAGATATTTCTGATTGCTCTTGCTAGTGATAGATACCATTTCCTGAACTTTCTAGAATATAAGTTTATAAGACAAATACTATATGAAATTTATACAGTTTCCCATCTGTATGTTCTCTTTTATCCCTTTTTCAGAGTAAACATTTTTTGCAACCAAGAGAGTGTAAAAATGCAAGAAAAAATATTTTTTTTTCTGTGTAAGAAAACAAGATTCAAAACATAATAGGAGATACATACAGAATTAAAATATCAGTAATTAAGACTGGTAATAATAATATACTTATTTTTTAGGTGATTTTCTCAAAAAACTCACATATCTATGAACATTGTATTTCCTGTAATTAGGAGTTAATTTGAACTCTTAAAGAGCTATAGGATTTTGTGTTTTACATCATGTCAGAAAGATTTTAGTTAATTTAAAAGCACAATAATAAAAATAGAGCAAGGTAAGAGGCAATATATGGAGGAAAATAATGAAACTGTAGTAGAAGTAGTCAATGGAAACACATTTTTACAGGCCTGTTCAGTTGCCAGTATTGGCCACAAATTTGTCTTTAATGCTTAGCAGATAAAGTTGTCAGCATATTTAGCTATGAGTGAATGCTGTCTATTAAAAAAAAAAAGCAGTTTCTAGAAGAAATCACAGTTTTTCCAAATGGTTAGATCTATAGCAACTTGTTCCTATCCTCATTAAGACAAACAGTATAGTATAGGATGAACAGTCACCCCATAATAAACACAATAAAGCCACTTATATGCTTGTCAGTGTACACCTAGTAGATGACTTCATTGTGAAGTTTAATAAAAGAAATTTTAGGAGATGAGGTGCATAAAATTTGTTCATTCATCATATGGTTAGATTGAGTTTTAGAATTTAGGGTTTTTGGTCCTAGTAATGGATATATTGCATGTCATTGAGGCAATCATCCATAAATATTACTTCTTTCAAATGGAATATTGATAAGGATTAGGTAGCATAGAGTACATACATTGTTTTTGGGTTTTTTTTTTTTTTTTTTTGTAAGAATGGTGAGGATCAGGGGCCTCCCGGTGGTGCAGCGGGTTGAGTGCCACACTGTGAAGCTGTCCACAGCCTCAGCAGTGCGGGTTTGATCCTGACCTGTGGGAGAAAATCCCACATGGTGCGGCAGACCTCCCTGTGGCTCCCACTGCTCCCCTCAGCAGTATATTTCTGTCGTCTGCCTGTTCCACTCCCTGCTCTGTCTCTGGTGAATCCTCTCACCCTCTCATGCCTATGGCCTGTACCCCAACTCTTGTATAAAAATAAATAAACCTTTAAAAAGAAAGAATGGTGAGGATCAGATATCTTAGATGGTGTGACAGACTACCTATACAAAAAGTAAAGTTAAGCTTTCTGTAAATTAAGATACCTAAACCAGAGCCCAATCTGAACAGTTGGCCCCTCATCCCACCTGGCCATTGGGATGGATTTGGAAAGAATGAATGGGGAGATTGAAAATCTTTTGAATACATTTCAGAATTCACACCAGGTTAGATGATTAGAAATTTAAGGTCTTGAA